TTACACATTGGTCATAACCGAGCTTGGGAACGTCCCATTGCGATGATTTCAGTGAGTTCTCAGTCCTGGCTCAAGTTCAAATTGGAATAAAAAAGGAACTACAGGCTCTCTTCAACCAGTCCTATTGTGAAAACTACAGGGCAAAGTGGCCCTTGTAAGGAACCTTCTCGCCTCCCCACGTTGCACTTGTGAAAACACGAACAGAGGAAATACGAGCTTGAATGTGGGTCTGGATGAGAAACTTTGTCGACGACGGAGGAGCTTGGGTTGATGCAAGGGGACGTTGGCGCCCAGATCATTTCCGAAGAGTGCACTGCACATGGGGGGGGGATGATTGTGAGCGATATAAGCCCTGGCTAATCACTTTGGAGCGCCAAAGTGGCAGCTTTTGTGTTTCTAAGCCTATCTACCTCACAGGCGATGGGAACTCAGGTCAGGTAATTGGTATCGGCGCTATCGCAATATATGGGGGCATCACGTAAACGCCTGTCCACGCTTCGTTGACGTGTCTAAACGTGTACATGCTTACGTGTCATGACATGTCAAATAGTGGCTTGGAGTCCAGACAAAAGAGCACATGCTTAGCTAGTTCTGAGGCTAAGCTTGTTGAAGGAAGGAAAGAGAGCAGGATGATTTTAAGGCGCTATCGCAAGATACGGGGTCATTGTGATGGCAGTACATTTCAAACTGCGTGAAACATCTCCTTTCTGTCCAAATAGGACTAAGCCTTAGGTGGAGAAAAAGAGGCTCCAGATTGCGTGGGCAATTTCTTATTCCCCATATTCCTGGCCCTCCTGGGCTTAGTCCTAGAGGATGCCCTTGTATCTTTCGATAGCGCCCGAAAGAAGTAGATATTACAAAATCAGAAAAAAAAAACAGCGGAATGCGTAAGGATGGAACCGCTGGCATTGAATCAAAATGAACACGTTTTAACGCATCCTTGGATTTATCCAGGTTTTGGCAAGTATTCAGCCACGACTTAACCAGAATGACACGTTCAGACAAAATGCCCCCGTACATTGTGATAGCATCGGGATATCACTAGATGACGGCTGGATGCCGATACCAAGGAACGAGATACAAAAAGAAAAAAATAGTTATAGATATAGAAAAAAGGAAGTCCGACTTTAACTGATCAAACCCACTAATGAGAAAAAGCAACACGTTTATGCTGCACCATCTAAACTTCCCTTCAAAAAGCGAAAAGTGTCGGGTGCAGACCAAACACCACAACTGACGACGGCCTCCAAGTAAATCTGGTTAGAAGTTGTTCATAGTGATAGCTGATTTCTGGTAAATGATAGTTGTAATTAGTGACAATCGATAGAATACAACTGCAACAGGCTAATCATTTCATTGGCAGAAACATTAACATTTTGTGAAGGCCGTCGTCACTTGTGGTGCATGGTCTGCACCGGACATTTTCTCGCTTTTTGAAGGGAGAGGTATAAGGTTCAACCCTATCGTTGTCAGTTTTTGAAAAATTTTTACGACCCCTTTTCCACACCTGGACACCATATGTCTCTACCCCATTGTACCACGAGCTCCAGCGACTTTTTCCTCTGAACATGGCCGTCGAGCGGGGAGGGGGGGGGGAGCGGATAGCTACTCTGAAACGAGGTAAAATCCCTAATATCACCGCACTTGCTGCAACTGTTTTTATCGACATTTTACCCGGTTAATACTACCTATATTCCTATATTCCTGACTACGCATTTTCTAGGGGGGGGGGGGAGGCAAACTCACATGTGATTTCAAGCGACTGAAATGGGTACGACCCCCCCCCCTTCTACAAACTCAGCCACGGGTACGATCCCTCTCCTACAAACTCAACCGAGTAAGACCCCCCGTAACAGCAGGGTTGACCCTGGAGTCGGTAGCTACTACATAACTTAAAGCCCCTGGTACTTTGGCTAATAGATCCTTTCAGCCGCAAAGATTTACAGCACGCATGGTCTCCGCACAATGAAATTATCTTCCTCACTTGACCATACGTTTCCCTTCAGGACCGATCAGCTCTTCAGCACGCACCATTTTTAAATGGTCTGAATTCCGAAGATATTTTTTGTAGAGAGGTCGAGTCCCACTAGAAGAAACCATCAAGATGTTCCGCAGTCTTGAGAGCTCTTCATAGGTAGCGCTAACCTTCAAAAGGGTGCCATCAAACGATCACTCCGATCGCTACTGCAGCTACTGTCAACAAGGGAATCTTTGACTGAATGAATGAGACCTGCAGCAGTCCCGAACCTTTGACACATAGCCGTTTTTGGCCGGCTTCTCCCAAAGATCTGTTCGCCCAGTGAGCGCTGCTCTCTTTATCAGTTCGTGAGCTGTTGAAAAGGAATAAAGCGACGACAGAGAGTGCATCGAGGACTTGGTGGGGGCCGATTCGGACAAGAACAAATACGATCCGTCGTCCGCGCCTCTCCACCGGCCCAGCTCTCTTCTCCTACCACCAAAAGAGTCGCACAGTCGGGTGGACCCCCAAAGCGACCGCCCACCATCCTGATACCTCAAACACTCAGCACACGTCCCGTACACAATCGAATGCACCGACTCTTCGCGTTGACCATCCTGTTTGCAGGTATCCGCCGATTTTAACCTTTTCTAAACGACTATTCTAGTCGCCTTATTTAGGCCTGTTCAATTTAAGCTCAAACTGAACACTGCGTCCGTTTTTGTTAATATTCATACTGAATTTAAACCAGTGGTCCCAATTATTTTACAATGGACCAGGGTTCTTCTTGTAAGGCGTTCGGATCTCAAAGTTAGCTAGTTCAGATGTTTTCTAGTACCCATTCTGCCTCACGACCTAGTTCCCCCGCGCGCAGGTTCAGCAGGGCAGTCAATATTTCTTGATATACCACGATGAACCAATCTAGTGGACTTACACGGGGACCATCACCTGGCACAATCTGCCGAAAGGTCCTCTATTTCACGCGGAATTTGACATGAGTGTGCATCCGGTGAGCTCCAATAAAGATTACGGCGACTTTTGGGAGGTCATTTTAGCCTTTTCGTGGCGCGGAACATCAAAAACAGGCTCTAACTCCACGTTCACCGTACCCTTTTCCAATCCACTAAGAAAAGGATAAACAAGAGTACGGTCACTTAATCCTATTTTTCGATCACCAAAAGCGATTCATGTCCTAACTTTCTCGATTCTTGTCGAAGACAGCGCTCAGAGCGTGATATTCCCGGCGTTAACCAAATTTGGGAATGCGCCATGCACATCGCTCCTCTCTGATCGTAGGTCACAAGAGCATGAATGCATCAGCTCGTAAACAATTGTGGAATCTGAGGGAATGAAAACTCGAAAAGAAATTAAACAACAAAACCATAAAAGAGCTAGGAAAAATGAATAGCTCAATGGTTTTTTGGAGAACTTTGAGGCTATCGCAAGAATACTGGGGCACCGCGGTGCATGTGCCATTGAACGCGACGTGAAACTTCCTTTTGTTATTCGAAAACGGACTGAGACTCGGGCGAGGGCGAAGAAACTGCCAGCGGCGGAGCCATTCTTCATTTCTCCCGGCGTTCTTGCCCCCCCTGACGCTTAATCTATTAGGATTGCCGCGTATATATTGCGATGTGCTCTCCTTCTTTGTCACTGGCTGTTTGTTTTGCGCATGCGCGGAAGTAATCACACAGAATTAACTTACGCTACGAGATAAACCCCAAAATATGCACTGAACGAGCCCACTGATTTATGCCTCAAGGTCAGGGACCGTGCAGTGGCCTAGCCACAATTCCATAAGAAGCCACGGGTCCGGTTTGGCCGGCCAAGGCAAAGCTTTTCCTTAACTCAGTGCACTCGTGGTAACTAGCCAGAACTTGGCGCTAACGCAGGATACGGGGGCACCCTCAAGAATTTACCGTATGAGGGGCAGCAGCTATTAATAAAATAAGAGCTGCTCACCGCCATAGCGCCTCCACCCACTACTTCACCTGAGGCATTAGCCCCGCTTTTTAAGTACAAAGTGAGGGTCCAGCAAGATCTCAGATGCACTGGCTTACACTCAATGTCCCGCCATCTTGCGATAGCGGCTCATAATTTTTACAGTACTTCTGCACTGTAACTCATATAATCGTGTCATATTCAGGAGGAGTCATCAGCAAAGAGCAATGCCGAATCGGAGACGACTGCGGCAGCTGTGCACTTACAAAGAAGGCGACAAATGTACGGAAGAACCACCACAAAAGAATCACTGTACTGTGATGTCAAAACAAAGTAAGAATTATTAAAAAAATTCGTAATGGCGAGGCTAGTGGACGATGTGCCGCTGGACAGCCAAAAAAGTCGAACCGAGCCATCAGAACGGGGTCGTTCTTATGCTCGACCTTACATGACCTCCCCTTAAAAGAAAGGTCGATCAATTAATTGTTGAGTGAATGATTCCACTTCAAGACTGTACATTCTTATCATCATTATCCTAACAGCGCCATTTTAGCCCTTTCATGAGCTCTTAGAAGATATTAGCAAAATACCTTACTATGACCCAATATATAGTATTCTTGACGGTATACCTTATAACGACCTTCGGCATAAAGGTCCGAATTGTCGGGTACGGATTTCGATTTCTTCCTCATCTGCATCCACCATTTTTTAAGAGAAAAAAATCAATTTGAAAAGTTTGGCCGCATCTTACTGAGTACACTTGGCCACTGTCGAGCTACGAGGGTGCGCCATGTATGTGCCATCCATTCAATATCGTTCGAACAATTGGTGAGAAGATCAGTGGGAGTTCCCGACCCCATAGTCTAAATGAATATTCCGTCTTTAACAGGTTATTAAAAGGACACAATTTTGTCATGGAAATCAAAAATAAATAATCACCCTTCCACTTCACTCAGCTCACAACTCCCCGTCAGCAACTTCCATTGTTTCGCTTGTACGTGAGAGCTATTTAGATCTCTACCGTACCCCAACAGAAAGCTACCGTAACCACTACAGTGTACGAGATTTTTCACAAAATTGGTATAATTTCAGCAAGACCGACATGCATGAGAATGCATTTCTCATTTGTAACCTGGTGAAGAGTCGGATAGAACGGAAGATCTGCAGTAATGGCGAGTATTTCATCGACGGCAAATGCCGAAACGCTCATGTCCGGTACAAACGACAGGGCACGGCCGGCTCGGGACGAGTCGGCGATTTCTGCTCGTTCAACACTGATTGTCTCACGGTTAGTGTATTTGCTATGATTTTCTGTAGGATCTACCCATAAGCCTTTGAAAACATCTGCCGGTATCAGTGATCGCTAATACTCGCTTGATCCTTATTTGCCATAGTTCTTTTGGTCGGACCACGGATTAGCTACTAGACCTACGTCGGGCTGACTGATCCAAAAAGAGACCCGTATCGGGTCTGAATGGAAGCAAACGGAACCGCAGAGCACAAAGAACATCTGACTGAAGACGGTGTTCTTTTCCGGGAGAAAAATCGCTCGACCCACACAATAGGGTTCCCGAGAGGAAAGGGCACACCTCTGGTGATTTCATACATGGATCCATTTTTAGATCCGAAACCCGATATGGTTCCCTTTCATACATGGTTACATGGAGGGCACAGCCATTTTTTGTGGAACCTCTAGGCTTTGGCTCCTCTAGCCTCGCCACTTGGTCATAGCAAGTCCTGTTGAATCCTAAAGATCCAAGAGACTTCAGAGCCTCAGTTGGTTATGAGGGAAACGCCTCTGCAACATAGTTCTGTAGTGAAATACTGTAATGAAGTCCTCAGTAACCCTCCAGTTCCCTGGTGTATGATTTTATCAAAACGCAAGAAATAACCGTGAAGTTTCTTTTTGCAGGGCATGTTCTGTTCAACTGGCTCATGTACGTGCCTAAGCAACTTCGTCGCCATCCAGGGCTACTGTTACTTGAAGAAAAACCCCGGCGAAAGCGGGTGCCAATACGCTGAGCAGTGCAGTGCGGTATGGCCGGAGAGTCGCTGTGAGAAGTCCCGCTGTGAATGTCCAGAAGACGTCAACGGAATACCCTATGTGCAGGCAAAAACTCGTGACGGTGTCATCTGCATCCTCCACTCGGGTGAGGACGGCGATCCCGTGCCAAAATGTCCTCTGCCCGAATACGATGACGATCTGCTGACGATGCCCGTCTCACAGCTCAGAACCCCGGCGAATGACCGATCTGACGATGCCGATGTCGAGATGGGCGAACATGTGAATCCACTACAGTTCTGCACTTCCACCTCGACCGACTACACAACTTTTCGTCGCCAATGGCGGTGGAGCCTGCGTATATTCGCAGGACCCGCATTCACCAGACGGCATCTATATCGCCGACATCTACGACTGCGTGACGTCGTCGGCGTCGATGACTAACGTGAAGACGGCATGGATAGCGTCTAGGAACTTGCACCGCACGCCATGGAATTTGTTGTCTATCGAATGGTTAATTCATTGCTTAGTTTGTTTACCTTATTTTTTATGCACAAACTGAACACCACAACAATTTTCGATAGGTTATCAGTTAATAAAAAATGGACAATAAATCAATCGCTATCTAGTAATGGTATTTAAAAAGGTATAGTGAACTGATTCATCAATAGAAGACAAATATGAACTTTCCTTCGTAAACTCCAAACTCAAACATACCTCTCTCGGAGTTTATCAAAGACGATTCCCACAAAACACATATCCCGAAGTGTGCTGCACATTTACTCAACAGAAATTTAATCTGTCGTTTCAGAATCTTAGGCGAGCGTGATATCCTGAGAATGATTTTAGCAAGTTCCTATGACTTGTCGAAACCCGGGGTCGATTGGCTCTTCTATTGATAACCCCTATAAGATCCAAATAGTCGCTGGGCGACGGTGCCAGATATCCAGAAATTGCCAAAACGATCGAATGAATGCTCCATTCAGGGGCTATGGAACAACCGTAGACACAGAATTCACTATTTTAGTGGCAGTTTCGTAGGTGTAATTCGATAAACAACCATTTCAGCTTACCTTTTAATTCTTTCGGATTCTGAACCATAGCAATAATGCCAGTTTACCTAGTAATAACAAGAATAGAAAGCGTTTTCGTCAGTAGATTTAAAGGGTCACCAAATTTAAAGGGTTGCTTCACCGCTGCGACGTCCCCTTGGCAAATGCAGCTACGTAGCGACCTGCGCCGTCTGGCGATGCGAAGTGCCTTTCTCGCAGCGATGTCGATCTCTGTCGAGTCGCATATGAGAATTTAGTGTTGCTAGTTCGCATTTTGCTCAATTTTCTGGCAAATATGCCAATCATATCGATCTGTGCCTTTAATGAGACCATATGCGATTATTGACTTTTTGAGAAGGGGTAAGGATAGCTGCGCGGATTGAAGTGTCAAAAGACCTTGGAAAAATATGTCGGACTATGAGAATGTTCCACATTAACTTAAGCTTTTTGAGCGCCTATGATTTACGGAGTAAGTGTTAAGATAGTCGCCGCACTCGCTACACCCTGCATTCAAGCAGTATTCCAATAAGTTACATCTATTTCTCGCCAATTTATTTCCTTCCATATTTTTCGAATTAACTGAAGTCCAACGAAACGCGAACGCACCGGTCAGCCGCCCGGCAGCGAATGTGCGACGCTTGGTGTCAACGCTTGTCACCGGCACCTGGAACAGTTATGTGGGATCATTGGATTAACGAATGCAATCGCCGAACAACTTCAAAACCCGTGAACACTGCGAATCCTACTGCAGAGACAGTGAGTTTGAAGGGTTATACAAAGTTCAAGTTCTTTCGTGTTGCTCTTGCATTCAGTTTTCTTTAGAAAACTTTTTTCTTTCTGTGTCTCAGAAGTTTTTCGATAGAAAGAAATGTTTTTCTGATCATACTTACATTCATTCGAAATGATGCATGGTGACTTCTTTTGAAAATATCCTAGTTTTTTCGCTGAGTTCCCTTTAGCGCAACCCGGCGGCCGAATTAGGCAAGCTCTGAGTGCCTAGAAACTGAATAATCTTGTACCTGCGCAAAGCTTTCTTCGCGAAATAGCGCCCCTTTTTCTTTCCCAGGCAAATTTATCCAGGGTAGTGGACTACAGCAAACCATTTCATTCGACATTCGGTTCCCAAGCGGCTCACTCAAAACACCAAATTACTGGGTCGTGGAGGGGCGCTGTGTCTCTCAAGTTTGTTGTCATTTTTGGCGGCGATAACGGACTCGTGTAATCACTTAATTTGTCGATTTGATGACGATGACGGCTGTGATGGAATTTCGCCTCGCCAAGCGCGATCTTCGTCTCGTCACTACTCAGCTTTGTCGACTTTGACCGCGGGTCAAGTGAGCAAACACTCACTCAATAATCCGAGCTACGGCCACGGAACGCGACTGCGTTCGACGAAGCACGCGTCCAAATACCGCGCACATGTAGTACTGACCGGCCGACGAGAAAACGAAAAACGAGCCCCAAAAGTCGCCGGCACGCCCACTGACGCACACGAACTCCCCAAACGGCCACTCGGTCGAAAATTTCGCAACTTTCAGGGATTGGGCAATAAGGAGGCAAGCTAGCAACTTACGAATCTGGACAGTGTGACGACCGCTAACGTTATTCCTGGAATATTCTCTAACCTTCCTCCTTCTCATCCTATCTCCTTTCATTTTCTATCAAACCAACTAAAAAGGGTTCCGGTAAGCACTGGATCGATATCGATCGATAATCGACGTCGGTACATGGGGTTTGAGCTCTAAAACGATGATTTGGAAGACGGTCGACCACAGCCCGTCAGCTACAAATTTCCAAGTTCTGCCAATTAGTTCCAAACAACTTGCGATCCACTGCACAGTCCTGGCTATCTACCCAACCTTCCACCATGCGAATGGTCGATCAGCGTCGATGAACCAGAAGAGTTTTAATGATTGTCTAGGCCTGATTTTGTACCTAATCGCACCACAATCAACTCATTGAACAGTATCAGTCAATTTCTTGGTCCATTTGTACCAGGAATGCTCACTGCCCAAAATGCTCTGCCTATACGGTATGCTCCCCACCCTTTTTCGAGGTGTTGTGAAAGAGTCTCATTTTTTTCTACATACTACGTACATGATTCACTAAGGCGCATATAAGGCCCTAGCCCTCACAACATTGACGCTAATTTGAGCCCATATAATGCTGAGAGAATTTCCCACGGCATGAGCCGCGTACGAACAACAGTGGCTCTTACTTCACCAACTAACGCAGACATGCACACTAATTAGCGACAAATGGGCAATAACGTACTGCGCAGTAAATACTACAAAGGGCCAGAATTATCTGGAACGTTGGCATTGCTATAGCAATGCACGCCTTGACAAATTCGTTCGACCTCGATGCAGCCGAGCGAAATTTCAACGAGACTAGTCCCTTCATTCTTAGTTGCATTATAAACCCTCCTGTTCCCACAAAAAACATCGGGTAGACGCACGGTTGAGAGCCACCACTTAAGGAAGTAAGAACGCTCAGGCGACATACCGACTCTTAAGTAAGGAATAATGGATCAAGGAGGGTCATGGGCAGGGCTATGTTCACAGAGATCACAGTTTGGCCACACTCCAACAGCAAACGCGGCCATGGAGAGGAACATACCTGTCTTGCAGCGTAATCGGATACAGTGTGTTGGAATGCTTGGGTCTGTTGCTCAATTCCCACGGGAGACTTTTGAAAAGAGACTGCCGGAGATATAATGCTGAGAGAATTTGCTCTGTTGAGATGATGAGCTAGTGATGAGAAATTCTTGGGCTTGGAATCAATGAGGTGGGTCAAGAGATCCGCATTGTAGCGGCGGCGCGATAAATAGGACATTGCAACTGGGTGCATCTGCAGTTTATCACACAGCTGCATTCAAACTTGCACCCATCACATTTGAAGGCTGTGAGAAATTATGCTAATGGAACGTTTCCGAATAGGGTTTTCTTTATTTCTCCTCCTCCCACTTTTACTGGATTTCATAAAAAAAATTGTAACTTGTCCCTAGTACTCCTGAAAATCCTAGAAAAACAAGGCTATTGCCAACTGTACAATTTTTGAGTTTCCTGAGTAAAAAGGGATCGTAATTGCACTACCATTGAATAGTTGGTTTGATGATAAATTCCCTCAGCAGGCTGAAGCAGCTAGCCGTGAAATTTCCGCCCCCAATCGAATCTGCCCTGGAACTTTAAATTCGTATAACCCATCATACCAACTGCCAGATTACATTACTATTATTAAAAATTAGCAGCTCCATTGCAACAGACTGGATCGAGATATTTTCAGCTTGCAAACGCGGTTCACCACAGTACCTCACCGGCAATGCCCACCACGAAGACGAGCCGATTCACAACTGCCAGACAGCTTCCACCTGTGTCTCGAACTTCGAGTGCACCTCGATTGGCTCCATGCAGATGTGCTGTCCGACGGTGGCGTCGATTTGCAGTAACGCAGGTGGTCGAGCATACGATTTGCTGAGAAACACGAATTTCGATCCCGGCGTCACCATGAAGAGAAGCTTCAGCCTCTCATTCGCCACTTCGAGCAGGTTTGTGGTTTTGACGGACTTATAACTATTGTTCTGATCTTGCTATGTCTCGCCCCTCTAAAAGCTCACTACCAATGACATAGTTCGAGCTAGAGATGTGGGAAAAGCATGAAAGGCCCTTGGGGGAGCATCCACACTAAAACACACTTTTCTCCCTCCTCTATTGCATGAGCACCGGACCGGAATTGTGCATCGTGTTACATCATTCAGGAGTTCTGCCATTCAATCTTGTTCAGCTTACTACTACGACGCGGAACAGGGTCGCTGTATCGCGTTCACCTACAACGGTGCTCTCGGAAACTACAACAACTTCAAGTCCTCAGCTGAATGTGAACTCTTCTGCGCTAAACTGCAGTGCAAGTACGGAACACCGTTGAAGATTGGTGCCACCAACCAACGCTGTAGCACCAATGCGGACTGCCCGAGCACCACGAATGCCAGAGCGATCACAACGTCTGCTGCCCGCGACCTCGTGAGTTTTCTCTGATTAGCAGTTTTTTTGCAACTTAGTCAATATCGCTGGCTAAGTTACGAGCAAAATTGAGGGCCACCCCGGCCGCAAGCACTGGTGCTAACAGCGAGGTCAGCGGAGACACTGTAGAACTTGATAAGGCCTTCTCTGCTGAAAAGGACCCTCGACCTTCGAAGTTTTCGAATTAGGCTAAATACGAGTAAAGCTCTCATACGTCACGCTTGTGGAGCAATTACTCATGAAATTCGCCAAAACCTGAATCACACATAAGAATGAATTGCGGAGAGGACAGGGTACGGGCCACAGCTTCCCTTGGTTAATATCTGGTAAACTCGGATATATACAGCCTAAGTATTGGCGAACTGAGGGTAATTCCAATATACTAGAAGCTCAGAAATACTAGAACGTTTGTTTTGTTTCTTGGCTGTTATTTTATGCCGCAGCTGTGTCGCGTCGCCGATGTCGCTAACCCTGCCTCACGATGTGTGAGTGATGACACGCTTAACCGTCAAACAACATACCGTCAAAGATGAGTCATGAGAAAATGGGGCACCGGCAAAGTAACTGGTAGCACAACTGCTCGGTAAGGGTGAGATGTGGGCTCGACTCCCGCGTGGGGTGAAGGGTTTTGCCCACAACTCCGCATTCTTATGGAGCGGTGAGGGACTTTTTTTGTTTCGTTATATAACCTTCCACAATTAGTTTCGTCGATACTTTTCCTGTAAGAGCCGCGGCGATGACACGGGGGCCTCCTACGCCAGAAATCTGACTTTGCGCGTGCCTTTAATGCTCCTGATGCAGATGCCGTTGTGATGGCTGATGTGCCGGAAATTTCTGTCAAGGCCTCCGCGCGATAAACAAAAGGATAACGGGAAAATATTCTAAGGCTCTCTCTTTACTGTAAACAAAACCTGCTTCATGGATATCTGAGGTTGGAGAGCCCAGTTAGATCCAAATCTCTCGACGACTTCGTTTATCGGACAGGTGTAATATGCGGCTCTCATAAGGAAAGTGACCTGTTACCTCTATAGGGGAGGGGGGATTTCAAGGCATAATCAGCATAGGCTTCAAATATTTTACTATGTACCCCATCATCTCGAGGGAAAAGTAGCATAGAATAAGTTCTTCCCCTTATCAATTTGGGGGCAGTGAAAGCACAGACCTGACGAGAGTGCGCCCGCCGGCCGCGCGATTGACGACAATAGGACGAGACTTCCAGAGCAGGAGACGCATGACAGCGACGCACTGATCATTTTTTTCAATCGGCGCTGTTTGAATTGTACAGTGAGGTTTGATAAGTTGTGATGTGGCTCCGGCGCTGTCTTCCGTACTACTAGAATCGAGTATATATCAAGGAAGCGTACGCATCCATGTTCATGCCTTGGATTTGGCCCTTTGAAGAAGTGTCCGCTTTAAACTCCTTCCACGCGAGATTATGTCTCTTCTGTGGCCCGCTTTTTTGTGTATAATCTCCAATTCAATCTTAACTATTTTGCTTCCATTGTCCGCATGTCAGGTCGGTCTATCCCCGCATTGTTCTTTTCTTCTGTCTTCTAATCCAAATTTCGTCCGTTTTTTATAATACTGGCTTTAGCCTATTTCTGGTTGTATTGGTTTTTGTAGTGCTGGCTAGCACTTTTCGTGTAAGTAGCCTGCGCTTGTCACATTTTTCGGCCGCTTTGTCAGTGTTACCCTAAGCTGTCTTTCCCTGTTCGATCTCACCAGTCAGGGCACTAAGGGGCGAGCGCTTTCGAAGCTAAGCTGCTGATATCGCCGGTGTATGTACGTGTGCTATTTGCAGAAGCGATTTGTTCGCAACCGCTACGATTGGGTGATTGTAAAGGCAGAGCGGCGACGTCTATGTTACAACGCGTGATCTTATTATTTCTTTGCGAGTTTCGACTATACCGATTCATGGTCAATGAGCAATTCAATTTTGCGCCCTACTCGAATGCAGAACATCTGCGAAATGTAATCATCATCGTGTCGTTTCGTTCGACTTTTAAAAACTTGTTATTTCTTGCCGTCTTTTCTTTTTTCCTTTTGTTGTGAATGGTACCTTCATCCGGCGCATGTGAGTTGGTAAGAGTTTACCTCACGCTGGCTCATCGCGCTCGCGACTCATTTTACCTCTTCTCATTAAACAAGACTAAACTGACCGACTATACAACCGCGAGATAGTAGATATTCTGCTCTCAGTCGGGGGGGGAAGTTGGTTCTCTTCGTATAATGTATGCTATACGAAGTTATTACGTCTCCTCTCCTCCCAATCCCAGGACTTCGGTCGATACCTAGGAATGCGAAAGGGATGGTCTTTCCATTTCAAGTGCTGGCGATCACCCGCGTATGTATCCAGCTTTGATGAGCACGTAGCGCGCGATTCGGTACACATAACCAGATCCGGAAAGTACCGAACGATTGTCGCCAGTTACATCTCCTCGAGTGTCGATCCCACCGTGAATCATGATGTCCTTACTCATTCCTGTTTCTGTTTATGAGTTTTATTGGACAATGTCCCCCCCTCTCCTTCCCGTGATTTTTTTACCTGCAGATTGTGTTTTCGTGAATGTTGAGTGTATAGACTTCTAGGCCTCATTTTCAGTCTCGTTCACTCTAACGATCGCTTGTCTTCTGGGCTTGATGAATGGGGTGATGTACTATTCAATACATGATTGTCATCTTCAAACGTCTAGGTTTGTTTCTGACTTATTGATGAAAAGCCAGTGATGGATGGTGAAAATTTCCATGGAATTATTTCTATGTTGGTCTCGTTCTCTCCCAGGAGCCCATTCTTAAGGCTCTACTCCAAGTTTATATTATGGCTCTCCTTTCTATATGTCTTGTTGTCCTGAAAGACTACATTCTGAGTCTGCTTCGTACAGGTCGTTACTACCCTAGAAGCTCAATTGCCTCCTAATTACGTACTTCTCACTTTCAGAACGGAATGATGACTTGATGGAGATAAATGCTAAATATTTCTTAATAAATATTTCAGTCCGCATCAGTTGTCCCCAAGGTGATGCCTACAAGGACTATCAAGGCAACTACTACGTCTGCTCAAACTCGGTGTCGGAAATTCCTGCCCAGTGAACTACGAGTGCTACTTCGATGGCTACGTCTGGGGATGCTGTCCAACAAAAGGTCAGTCCGGTTTACTTTGAGATATCGCTTGAAATATTAGATTAGAGGTGATTTTACCATAACCCTACCAGAGATATTTGGTAGAATTACCTTTGTTCGCTCCGGTATTGACTTCACCTTTTCAGCCTACACCTGCACACTCTCTCCCCACAAGGGCGTGACCTGTGGCAGTGGATCGTCCTACCGGTACTTCTACAACAGTCAAACACAAGAATGCGAAAGCTTCCAGTACAACGGTTGTGATGGCAACTCAAACAATTTCGCCACGAGGGACGATTGTGAGGGATACTGTAGCGTGGGTGGCTGCCCATCGGGAGGCACGCCTGAACGCAACGAATTCGGCCAGTTGATGGTCTGCTCGTCCACTCAAGTCTGTCCGACCACTCACGAATGCACATCGGTGAACTCGGGCAGCAGTGTTGTGAACCGGTGCTGTCCAACTCGGTCCTACATCTGCTCACTGCCACCTCAGCAGGGCAGCTCCTGCTCCTCATCGGCTGCTTCTCGCTACTACTTCAACATCGTCACCAAGGAGTGCACTCAATTCACCTACAACGGCTGCAGTGGCAATCTGAACAACTTCGCCACTGTCGAACAGTGCAACAACTTCTGTCTGTCGGCGGCTTGCACTCCCGGAGATGTGGCTTATGTGAATCCGAACACGAATATGCCCTACGAATGCAACGCTGCGCTCAGTAACAGTTGTCCGTCAAACTTCGCCTGTACCTATGACCAGTTGTCCGCAACCAGCGTCTGCTGTGGAGCTACACATATGGGTGAGTCTCATGAATATTCTATCTTCAGCACTTTCAAAACTTTTAGTTTCCTTCGCAATGTCGTATAGTTCAATCGAATAGTAGATACCATGACATAGCAGAGCCGCGCCGCGACCGCACCCTCCTTTGTTGGCTCACTACAACTTAGGCCAGACTTTGCGAATCAGGCGATTTGGCGAAAAAGACGGTCGCTACATCTGCGCCCGGTCGCGTTGCGGCCAACGAATCCTACTGGAGAACCGCAGCGCGACCTGCCGGACGCTAGCGAATCGCTCGACTCCACCAAAGTCTGACTCGACTTACATTAGTCGTAATACTATTCATCGATTTTTATATTGAAATGAGCCATGAAAATCCCCAAAGTAAGGTCAAAAGGAAATCGATTACTATACTGTGCATCACATGGCTTGCTACTACACGTTGCTACTAGGGGGGGGGGGTTCAGCGATTTGCAGAAAACAAAATTTTGTGTGCAGAATGAGAAGTGGAAAGATGCAGCTGCCTTCCTACAAACGAATGAGGACACAGTCGTGGCGCGCGCGCGTCAACGATCAATATGACGCACAGCAAGTTGCAGTGAAGGTTGCAATGGCTTGTTGCTTCTACTTTAAACAGCCAAAACGACATATGAAAAAATTTTCTTAACGATTTACATTGCGGAAAAGGAGATTTTAAACCGTCTTTCCAGATGTCTGTCCTGAAGGAGAGAAGGCTTACGTGAACGCGGCCGACATGAGTGTTCGTGAATGTCTGATCAACGTCGAAGGATCCTGTCCGAGCAACTATCTGTGCCGTTTCAACGCCCTGAAGAATCGTACTAATTGCCTGGCGCGCATCGATCAACGGGAAGATACTCTGGCACTGCCCGAAGGCAAACTTTTCAGAATCGTCCTGCGAAAGCACCCATCAGGTAGGCTTTCAATGGTCCCTCGAATTCTCAGTGCTGCGTGGTGGTCGATACGATAATAAATACAAGGCAAACAGCTCAACTTAGAGCACTCTTTCAAGGCGCTCTATTCCTGCTCTGAGAATGAAAAATCTTCCGGCCCGACACCGGCCTGTGGCCGCGTCTTGACCGTTTGCCAAACAGCGCGACACACTGCTTAGTTAGCGCGTCCGCCACAGATACTATACGAGGGAATAAAAACTGATTGTTCCAAAAATCAAGCCCCTGAACTCCTCTTTTTAGATGTACGATCAGCAGCAGCAGCAACCAATGTCCTACTGGTTACTCTTGCCAATCGGATGTGCCTGGCGCATTCCAAGGCATATGATTGCTCAGCAAAGCCATCTCTGTCCGAGAAAAGCCCGAGTCCTTTGAGGCAAGCACTACCCGATCCACGATCGTGCACTGTTGGAGCGTTCATTACCTGCCCGAATGGCTACAGCTGCCAGAGCACCCAGACCGAGTTCACTACCGGCTTCTGCTGTAAAGGAGAAGTAGCTTCAGCGTCAGGTGAGCTTCCAGTCAATTCCGTAGCCTTTCATTGCTAGCAATTTCAGACGGCTGCCCACCAAACGAGTTTGTCTACATGAAGGACGGACAGATCGCCGCCTGCGACCCGTTCAACCCTCCAAACGCTCCCTGTCCGAACGGCTATTCCTGCCAGTGGTCGCTGGCCAATCAACGCTATCAGTGCTGCGGTTCAACGCCCATCACAACTCCAAAATCCATCGCCGCTCTCGGTTGCCCAAACAACCAGGTGGCTTACCGAGATGTGGCCACGAATCAGCCACGAATCTGCACGGCCGCCTCGCAGAACTGTCCTACCGGCTACTTCTGCCAGTTCTCAACTGCCAACAATCAGTTCCAATGCTGTGGAATGTCTGGTGGATGTCCGAACGATTCAGTGGCTTTCATTGGAATCACCGGTGAAGCACAGAGTTGCGCTATTGGACAGAGCAGTTGTCCCAAGGGATACTCGTGCCAGCGCAGTCTCACTGGAGCGCAGTTGTGCTGCACCACAAATGAACAAGGTTTGTGGTACACTTAGTTCTAACCACAATTTAATAATTAATACCGATTATTGAAAACGTAACCTAGATGAGAAAGGATCTTGGCATGGTTAATAGGGTAAAAGCAGTGTTCTTATGACACCAAAGGCATTCTGCAGCGAAGTGGATTGAGGGCGTTAACCTAGGGCGTAAGCACTGTCAAAGAAACCGTCTAAAGAAGCGGGTAAGAAAATTCAAAAATCTGAGGAAGTTGAATCTTTCGGGATAGCATGAGGCCAACATACCGGGTGATCGAGGAATAAGGGAGCACATAGTGGGAAAAAGTATAGATCCTCCTCGTCTGCGAAATATGGGAAGTGGGTCCAAAAGGCTTACTGGCTCAGCATTGAGGCAAAAAAGCAAATAACCACCAAACAAACACTGAACAAGACTATCGACTTGTAGTTTACTTTGAACAGCTTATCGAGTTCACGAGGATAAAGCGCTTGGGGATGAGATGAGAGGGCAGACAGTAGGAGGTGAAAGAGTGTAGGGACGAGCTAGACGGAGACACCGCCCTCTTTCGAGGTCGAGTCCTATCGACGTGTGAAGCCACTTGAACAACCTCCAGCACCCATGTTACACCTTCAGGCAGCGACTGAAAATCGACTCTTATGGATCATTCCCCCT